GCGTTCTTGTCCAACTCTGCTTGTGCGCGGGCATTTCTTGAAAACAAGAAAAATCATATCAACCACATTTTGAAAATCCCCAACGTCCTCCTCAACACCATCCAGCGCCTGCGACGGCGTGGGGTCGCAAAAAAGCGGCAAAACTGAAAAAAGTCCAAGCCATGATGTCAAAACTGAGCTTAAAACAAATTGAACAATACTGTCATAAGAAAAAACGCTGGTAATTCACGTCGTCGCCGTGTCAGCTTCAGAAGACATTTCTGTAACAGTCTGAGGCTGGCATTGTCGCGAATAACAAGAACATTCCCATTAAGTTGACTGAGCAATGACTGCCGGATGTCAAAGCACTGCAGCTCATCGGCGCTGGGTAAGAGGTAAGAACTTCTACTAGTCTAAACATGTTTAAGCAACGCAAAGGCCTCCTTTCCGTCATAAGAAAAAGTGAGTTCCTACTCCCCCCAAGAACAAAACAAAAAAAAAAAACTTGTTCAACATCATTGGGCACTGTGTACCTAACAACATAAGTGTACAGGATTAGCAGCACTAGCCGTCACGAGCCGTCCTTCATGACGCATGACGGAGGCAGCCAGCTCGTTCCATTCTCGGGATTGAGCAGCCAGAAGGAAGGAATGGGAAAGAAAGCGAGAAAGAGAGAGAGAGAGAGAGAGAAAGACTGAATCCGCGGAACGACCAGCGTCCCATGCGCGACACTTGAGGGACAAGCCCTTTCCCGGCCCTTCGAGAAGGCTTTGCTGAACACATCTCTTTATGGTTGCCGCCCCGCCCCGTAGGCCAACCTAAACCAACAGCGGATTATACCCTGCAGAGATCTGCAACAAGGTAAAACGGAAAATGAAAAACTAAAGCATACTCAAGCACTGCGAGCTCCTGTGTCAGGAACCGCTTTATCGCAAGCAATGCAAGCCCGGAACTCGTTGAAACTGGAAGTACACCTGGTCAAAGAAGGCCAGAATCTTGGATAGAGCACAGCAAAGTGCCAGCAATATTCTGGTAAACAGCAGTGGACTTCCACCGGGAGCAGGCCATACAGTGACGTGCCACAAGGCGTGAGTTGCCTCAGGACCTGTCACGTTGCGTGGCGACTAACACCAGAACCCTCAGACTACCCGACACCATGACAACTGCGCCGTGGCTGACACTCCAATCGGCTCTGTTCTCGGAGCCACGAAGAAGGCACGTATCCGAGCGTCTCGATCCATGGTGATGCAGGTTGATACCACCAGCAGGCACATTATCCCATCGTTCAGCTGCACCCTCCTGCTGGAATGTTGGCCGAAATGACAGCAGCCTTAGGACACCATAGCTGCATGACGAAGCACCAAGCCCAAGCTTGTCAAAGACTTCCATGCCGAAGAATAGCGACCACCGCCATAGGGGCTGATACCCTTGTTTCAAGCGAGCAGCTGGCAATGAGCATCATCAGCAAGAAACATGACAAGCGAGGAGACCGTACAGCGAGCGCCCGCTAGTAAGACAGGTTCGAGCCGTGGTGCGTGGTGCTTGGAGAGAGCATGAGAGAGTGAGAGAGAGAGGGAGAGAGAGAGACAGAGAGCGAGAGAGAGGGCAAAAAAAGGCTTCGTAGAGTTTCGTAGTTAGCCGGAAATAAGAGACTTGCCACTAAGCATTCAATGGGACACAAGCGGGCTCTTTCTGCTGTTGGGAGGCGAGCGGCTGGTGGGACAAGTGCGCAGGTTTGGCCCGCACCATGGGAAACCCTTCATATCCCTTCATTGCCATGGAACCCTGACCGATTTCCTCGCTCGTGATGGTCCCCGGTAACCCTCAGGATTCCTTCTGATGAGCCCACACAACCATATCACTTAATCCCTGAAAACCCATTCCGTCGCTGAGTCTTCAATCATCCGTGGGAATCCTACGGTGTAGTTCCTCTACGGCAATACTGAACACGGTGTTCACCAAAGCGTCTCTGGATTGGATGATCAATCCCAAGAATCCCACTATCCAGAAACGTTCCAAAACCTAGGCGGTGCCATCATTAGCCCCGAAAATCCAGTGGAGGCATGCGGAGGCCACATTAGAAACCCAGGATGTGGCAGAGATGGTGGCTTCCAAAAATTACCCTTTCTCGTCCCTATGATAACGATTAGAATCAGAATCTATAGGGGTTTATGTTGGAACCCCTTTGTTGTGGAAACCTCCACATCCATGATACTAATCTGTTGATTTCGGTTGGCTTTGAAAGGCGCCTCCTGGATCTCTATGCAGCTGCTGCAGCCCTTGCTACCAAACCTCGGCAAACACGAGAATCGTGTGCTCATGCAGGGAGTCGGGCCTGGAAAATTGACATAGGGTTTGGGGGACTGCGGGATCCAGGATTTTGCAGGGATCATGAATCCTCCCTGGTTGGGGCCTCAGGATAACTAGGCTCCGAGACTTCGGTGCGTTTGCAAATGAAATGAACAATCTTGCTGGCATCTTAAACTTCAGGCAGCTTGCGGCTCTTCCTGGTCCAGGCCACTTTCATAGCGTGATTAGCATGCTCGCAGGTGATCAAAGGGGTTACGACACCGCAAGTATGGATGATGGCTGGAAACTGCCACGGCTTTGGGGCCCTGGCGTCACCAGCCAGCTTCCTGTGGTCATGCCAGTGGATGCCTCCGGAGACGAGCAATGTACCAAGTAGGTATACCAGTAAGCGTAACTTTATTACAAAATGGCTAACGAGACATCTAAGGTACTATACATATCTATAGACCTATGTTAATGCATGTCTTAACCTTGGCGCATGACAACTTCAATGGGTTCGAATTCATCACTGCCAAAAAAACAAATCCTTGGCCTACTTGTACCACAGACTTGCAGTGTCTGCTTTCGCTGGCAACAACCTGCCTGTGTCTGGTGCTCAAAGATTTCGTCATTGAGCTGCTGCCTTGGATTTTGATACGACTGCGGCGCCTGGACTCCAAACCCCATGCCTGATGCCCTTGCTTGGTGTCCCTACTTGTGTTGTGTGATTTGTTCCCCCTTGATCATGGCTCTGCCTTGGAGGAAGACCTTGTGGTCACCCAGTTTGAATGTTAAGGTCCCGGATTTGGGATCCTGTCAAGAGGTAGTAACTGATGCTGCCTACCATCCGATGCAGTCCATGGCTCATGTTTGACAAGCGTCAGAGCACTCTTCGGATTCTTCATCGGAGCGTATTCCGCAGAATATCGGATGCTCCCAGAATCCAACTTTCAACCCCGATGCTCTGGACTTCTGAACCTTTCGCAGTCTTGCAAAGGAAAGAAAGCTTGAAAGTCATGCAGGCCCTGGAGTTGTTTGCGTCAGTTGCGATTTTGCAGACAGAACACACGGCGGCAGAAAGCCGCAGCAGCAGAAGTACCTCCCGTCACGCAATGCTTACTAGTAGCAAGCATAAAAGGGGGGCAGCAGCACTAGGCGCAGTAGCAGCACTAGCAGTGGCTGCACACAGCAATAGCAGGATCCAAGTATCCAAATGACAGCGACCTACTTAAGGAAGTTGAGTGGCAAGCCCTGTAGAGAAAGGGAGTGGGGGATGTAGACAGAGAGAGAGAGAGAGTCACATAAAGAGTCAGTCAGACGAAGAGAGAGCCAGTGTGTGATCGAGAGAGAGAGAGAGAGAAAGACAGGCAAAGAGAGAGAGAGAGAGTCACAGTGAGAGAGCGAAAGAGCGAGACAGCATGGCATGCAAAATTGAAACGACTATTATAACATGGGGCTCTCTATATCTCTCAACATCTGTAGCATCAAATAGATAAAAACGGGCCGGCTTACCGATTTTGAGGTTCTCACATGCCCTTGGCCAGAACACACTCAGATTTGCCAAGCTTTCATGCAGAGATGCAAATTGATTCAGAACCCAGAGGCCCCCATCCAGGATCGGGCCATTTAATGAAACTTGTCCAGGCCAGGGCAGTGGTAGCCTTATCTTTTCAAGAGCCTGTCTCAGATCTCCAGGCTGGGGGACAACTGGCGTGTAAGCTTCGGCAAGCTGAAAGCATCATGCAAAACCCAGCGGAAGGCGGCACGGAGACATGCTTTTGGAGTTGTTTAACTCAGCCCTGGCCGAAAGCACATGATGAAGCTTACAAAGCCGGTTTGCCCCCCAACAAATGAGGCACCACTTATGGAACTCAGGCAATGTTTCGCGAAACGTCATTGTGAAGGCCAGCTCTCATGCTGTAAAAACCACTGCAACACAGATCTAGTTTTGACCGTCATCACTGTTAACCCTTTCTGCCGCCGAGTGTGAGCTGCTATGACAATCAGATGGACATGGCCTCAGGCATGCAAAACTCTAGTTGCCAGGCGGGGCGCATACTGCAAAGCAGCCATCTGTCGAAGACATGCCATGGCTGAGCGGAATACAGATTCCTAGCTAAATTCAATCCTCGTCCCTGAGCACTGTGTTGTGAGTAGTAAGTGTCGACAACAACAAGAAAAGACGATGCAAAAAATGGGATGTCGGGCATTGCCAGCGAGAGCATGCTAGTCAGAGGTCGATCATAACGCCAATTCACAGGCATAGTATAGTAGCAGTTCGAGACTCATTCAGTCGCAGCCAGCATGGCAAGTCATCATATCGACAGTTCTGTTGATGTGTCATTTTGAATTCTTGAGCTACTTGTCCTGCGGGGCATGATTCCAAAGGAGGCTCAAGTTCAAAATTTATACTTTTCGGAGTGTGACGGACTTCAAGTGACATTGACATAAATGAATCATCTTTCTGATTCCTCAGGCTTCATATGCATGTAGGATTTCTTGAGCCAAGCATCCCAAAAGAAAGACGACTTTCTCCAACATAAACAGGATTATGATCTTTTGGAATATGAAAGATCCCCTGTTTATGGAAACTCTCACATCCCAAAACCTCTCCCCCTGCACAGCTAGCAGGCGCCAAGATTAAACTGCCTGCACAAAAGGCCAACACTAGAGTCGGTAGGACAGGGACCTGCACAGGGGCAAACAGAAGATCGAAAGGGATAGAATCGTGCCTCCATGCTGGCAGCAGCAGGCGCCACATCCACGGGGGTGACTTCCACTGCATGCCAAGGGTGCATAGGTTCACAGGAAAATGCTGGGTGCACGGTCCATGGCGTTTAACGGGTCACCAATGACCCTAGTGAGTGCAAAGCGCATAAAACAATGAACACCCAAAGGGAATGAGAGTAGCATTCAAATAAGACGGACCCATATATGGCCCATGGACCTGAACAGAAAAGTTGTGAAGCCAAATCTTCTGATTCTTTCACGGGATTGGACAACTTGGCTTGATCATGAAGAGCTTCCTCACCTCTGCTGGCACACTGCACGGGTCAAGCACCGACTTTGCTTAAACAGCATGATCCAAGTGGTAAAGCACAGAGGCAATCCTAGCAACGACGGGAACTTCAAAGTAGACAGTGGCCTTGAGAGCCCGCTGCCTGTTCCGCCAGAAGCCTTGCTGACGCCGAAGATCAAGGAAGCATACAGCATAGTAGCAACAGTTGGAGCATCTTTAAAAGTAGGGTATACCTTGAATGTCTGGTCAGGCTACGAAAAAGCATGATATGAATGATTGCTAGGTGACAGGTAATGATCTAAGCGTCCTCCTATAGTTGCGAACAACTTGACTTATTCTTGGGGTTGCTGGCCAATAGTAGAACGGACTCTCGTAGGACTGACTCAAGTCAGAAAGGTTGAAATGCGACGCCATCCAAATCATCATACCAGTAATAGCAAGCATAATCTTATCTAAAGTAATAATGGTAATATTACGGATACTGATCCCAGAATCAATGGTCGTCCCGTTCCTCCATCATTTCTGACAAGCTTCAAATTCTCTGCACTAAGCACCACCTCAAAGAATGTCCCTCTCAAAGTCTTGGGCTGCCGCCTTTGTGTTTTGGCATCCGCAATGGCCTCGGGCAGAAGTGTAATCTCAATACTGTCAGCACCAGGGTTGGCGGATGCCTAAGTTCGAGCTGCACCTAGAGCCAGCATGCCCAAGAAGACCAGAGCTCGGTCTGCAAACTTCCTGTGGAATCCACAACCTGCAGGAAGGAAAATTGAATATCGCATGTAGAAATGCCTGTTCTGGTTGGCTATCAGAGGTCAATCTCCATTTCGATGCAAAGAGCGTTACTTGGGCGTTTGTGTGGGGACCTTTTGCCACACTTATCAAACTGACAAGCGACATGAGGCCAAGAGGCAGCTTGGAACGATCACGAAAGAATTCTGAGAGATGAGTTTTGAGGCCCGAGCCGGGCTAAGCGTCTCAACCAACTGCCTGCGCTCCTTCTCCTGACAGGGGCCAGAAAATCGGACTGGTTGCTTCTTAACACTTTGCGCAAGCAATCTGCTCATCCGGGCCATGCAGGGCGCGAAACAAGTCAAACACGTCTAGACCTTTGCAATACCCATGGCAACAAGGCAGCGAGGTAGCCCGAAAACCACGCGCATCGTAATGGGGCCTTTGAGACATATCACGGCTCCCCTGAAATCCCAACTCCAAATCCTTGAAGAAGCGCTTGGTCTTCCTGTCCGAGATGTCCAGCTTGAGATTTGCCAAACGAATTGACAGGTCCTCTAGCAGGCAAATCATCTTGGGCGTTTGTAGGCAGAGGGGCCACCTACCTGCTCTCTGTACTGAATGGCCCTTGCACTAATGAGAGCGTGGATCCAGAATCACGCATTCTGACCTTGCACAAAATTTCGATGCTAGTGCTTCTTGATATTGATACAGATAATGTCGGTCATGGCTTGCGTCGCAGTCATTGGTGCAGAGATGTTGACGTGCAGAATATTCGCAGCCGGCAAGCATTTGCTATCTGCATTGCGCAACGCGTCGTGCCTTCCTCGACATGTTGAGTGCCTGCGCGTCGTCGATTGCACTTGCAAAACAAAACTATCACAAACTTGTTTTGCTAGAAGTTCTATGATTTCGGAGCTCATCAAAGGTTCCACTCCTCAGCGATCTACCAACATGGCCGCAAAGCGCTGCGGGGCTTCAGCTGGTCCACAGAAAACATGAAGCATGGAATCTTATGGCCGGTGCTGGCACTGAGGACTTGGCTTGCAAGTGGCTCCCCGAACAGAAGGGCAGCAGAAATTCCAGTTCGCATGTGTGGAATTGTTCTCCCAGTGATCCAACCCGAAAGGTGTCTCATCGTCCTCTCCGATGCATGCTCACAGAAACAGCCGACTGCTGCTGAAAGCTATCGGTATGTGCAGCAGGTTTTGATTGCCTTGTGGTGCCCAAAAGAGCTGGGAGACCCCTTGCCATTTCTATGGAACAATACCTCGCAAGACTGTCCGCTGTACAACTGTACTAGATGCCTGCCTCACCCTTTCGCAGGGCACTGCGCAAGCCGAGAAGCTCCTCGACCTTTTCACAAAGGGTCCCTGGTTGCCGCCGTGCTGGGTTGCAAGCAGGTAGTTTTGATCTGAAGTCTCAATCTGCTAGGCTTCGTTCGCCCAGTTGCTCTGATGCAAGATTTGAATTAATCACTATGACAGGAATGTCGGATATTATAGCTGATCAAGACTGGCTGGCTGGATGTGCTTCTGTTGCATATTGTCAACAAGTGCCAAGGTCCCCTCTCTTTAGAGCTGATGCTTTGCCAAGGAAATAGAGTTGGTCACAGTATGGCGTTTATCTGCAGCCCATCTTCTGAGTAAAAGCAGGAGTCGGGAGAACCCCGCGTTCTCGAGTCAACCGCGCGAACACGAGCAGCTGATGAGGGAAACGTCTGGATGCGGCAGAGGAGCCAGTTGCGATAGCACTTCATTCCTGAGTTCGCCCAGCTGGCAAGCAGGCACACCGCATCCTGCATGAGATTGGGCACAGTGGTTTGGGATCCCTTGGACACGTTGACTCTGCCTGGAGGGCCTACATCTCTCAAGGCCTTGGCATGGCATCTGCCCTGATTTCATGTACTGTAAGTTGTGGACTGAACTTCAGCCACGGTGCTGAAATTCGATCGCGTTGATGCAGTTGTAGTATTCCACTCGCATGCTTTCCATCCTGGCGCGCTGTTCATGCAGGTGGCATGTCTTGCAGCGAGCACATTGAATGGTCCATGCACTGTCCACGCCCTTCCTCCAGGTCTCTGCAGTGCTGCACTTTGTCACTTCTGCCAGCAAGCCAAAATGGCGCCTCTGGGGATCTTCGAAGTACCCAGAGAACTTCCTGGGCACTACAGGGATTCCAGCTATGGGCCTTACCTTGCGCCTTTGGGATGTGTGAAGCCTATCAACCAGAACTTCTTGGAAATCTTGGGCGACAATGTTTGCAACTTTTGAAACCGGAAGGTGAAGATCGGAAAATGTCTAAGAGTCTAAGAAACCAAATGGCACGCGGGAAAGCCAGGAAAGAACGGCTTGGCACGAACTGTCATGATGGACATGCAAATGCTGCTGTCTCGTTTTGGTAGAAGTATAAGCCTTGCTACCACAATCACCTCCATCCTAAAGGCCCAGCACCCTCCGTCGTACTGAAGTTCAGCCCCTCGAATCCACGGGCAAAGCTCTCATACTCCAGCTCGAAGAACTGAAGCACCTTCCAAGACTCGGGCTCCATACCACAAAAACAAGGGTTGTGATGACTTATAAGTACGAGGAAGGACAAGTGCATTTGCAACCAGGGAATTAGCTTTGCGCGAACACTGGGCCTGGTCCAGCTTAGCACGCTGCTCGAAGATGTTCTCGTCGTCGCATGCATCCTACAGTGGGCAGGTGGGAACTACGACGGCGCGAAAAGGATGCGAGGATATGAGAGGTTGCAGCTTGAGATTGTTATGCTTTCGGCAAGCTAGGGACTGCAAATCTGTCCAAGGGATCTGTGCCCCTGCCTTGTCTGGCTCTCCGGAGTTGCAGGCGACCCCCCTGACATTTCTCAAAATGCTCAAAATGCGGAGGTTTGAAACCATGGAGCAACCAACAAGTCACCACCCCGTAGACATGCAGCATTGCTACACCTGCGCAACCAACAGGTGTGGCATCCACTCTCCCGGTCCTGACGCCATCGATGACGCCTCCGAAGACGCCGCCAAAGACGCCGCCGACGAAGCCGCCAACGGCACCGAGGGCCGAACTGCGGAATCCAAGGACTCACTGCGGCTAGTGAGATTTTAGCTGAAGCCATGAACAAACATGTTTCTTTGTACAGCTTTGCGCAGCTTCAGGTTGAGGACCTTACTTGTCAAAGCTGCTGAAACTTCTCTCAGCAATGCTCTGTGAGCGGATGCAGTACCACTTCGTGAAACCTTGCCGACTAGAAAGGGAACATAAAAGCATCCAATCCGAATCCCCTGGCCTCATCCACCGCCCACACAGGAGCTCCACGGCTACGGTGCTCTACATCACAAACTCCAAAGCGACATCGGGAATTGTGAAATCGCGATTGCTCATACTTGTGGTTGCTGACTGTGGCAGGGGTAGCTTAGGCAGATCACTGGGGTTCATGGTGATTGAAGCCCGCGAGTTGCGGTAGGTGCAATCCATCGAGCATTGAATTTGGCTTGTGACATGCATGGTCAAGCGGCAGCATGTGAATGAGGATGCCATAAGCAAGGCCAGCAAGACGCAAAGCTCTTCCCCCTGCCAAACGAGGGATACGACGGGCTCGCGTGCTTCTGTGTCTTAAGCCTTGATGAATCCTACATAATTAAACCGAGTTCAAAAACAGATCCGAAGTGCCCCAAGTGAGCCATGGGTCAGAGACAGATCTGGATTGATGTTTTGTTCACGCTTTTGCGGGTCTTGTGCTGCGCAGTCTGCAGAAGCCAGCGTTGACCATGAGGTAATTAGTTGCTATCTTACAAGTGTCAAACGTTAGCCAATGTGGGAGGCCCGTTCGTTAAAGGGTTGGAGCTCTGGGTAGGCAGATGGACTGCAGGCGACATTCATTGCACACTGGAACCGCCAGCGTTGGCTGTGGCTGATGGGTAGAAAGCGGATGTGCGCACCAAAACAGTCGATTCGAGCACCACGGCAACGGATTCGAGCACCAAGCCGAAGCCAGGACTTGCGCACCTCCGCCGTCAGATTCGCGCACCAAGGATTAGCGCACCGAGGAGTCGCGCACAGGCCCAAGGATTCGCACAACAAAGCAAGTATTCGCGCACTGGGGATTCGCGCACTGGTCCCCTAAAACCAAACCCTGACACCGCCGAATCCTGAACCACGAACAGCCCCTAAACACTAAACTCTAAAATCCCTAGGTTTCTGCGGCGGCCATGTCTTTAGCATACGCGCAAGTCACGTTGCGATAGTGAGATTTCAGTATCTTAATCAAAAATTGCCACATGTTTCAATGGTTTGCCAATCGGGGGTCTGCGCTCACTCCTCCGCTTGTTTGAAACATGAACCAGCATCATGGCGAATAGTGACCATATCAACAACTGCCACCTTCCTCACAAACAGAAAGCAAGACTGGAAACACTTAACCCTAAAAACGCTAAACCCTGAAGCCGCAACCTGAAAAGCACTAAGCCCTGAAAGCCCTTAAAAAAAAAAACAAGCACTAAAAGCCCTAAACCCTAAGATTCCTAAACCCCAACCATCCTAAACACCCTCCAACCTAAAAGCCCTAAACATACGAAACACCTTAAGCCCTAGAGGCCCTAAACACCCTGAACCCTGAAAGCCCGAAACACACTTAACCCGAAAAGAAAAACAAACTAAACCACCAAAATCCTGCAGTCGCTCAACTCTGAAAGCCCTTCCCCAACACCCTAAACCCTACAAACCCTTAACCCAAGAAACCCCAACCCTAACAGAAGCCCAAACCCAAAAACATTAAAACCCAAAAAACTGCACCCTATGAGGCCTAAACACTAAAAACGATAAACCAAAAAAATGAAAAATTATTCAACCCTAAACCCTAAAAACCCTCAAACCCTAAAAAGCAACAAACACTTGCAACCCTTGAACCCTAACAGCCCTCAAGCTCTAAAACCTCAAGCCTCAACCTAAAAAAGCAAAAAGATTAACAGCACCAAACCCTGAAAACCCTAAACCCTAAAAAAAGTTTAACACTAAACACCCTAAACCCTCAACACCCTCAAACCCTAAAAACTTTCAACAAAAGCCCTAAACTTAAACAACCTAAACCCCAAAAGCCCTCAGCCTCAAAAGCCCTCAACCCCAAAAACCTCAGCACCCCAAACCCTAAAAATCCCAAGCACCTGAAACCCTAAAACAAGCGGAAACCTGAATTCTGGAAATTGCGGAAGCGTCGGGGTCTGGGCCACCCTAAACCCTCAACCCGACACCTAAGCCCTAACCCCGCAACCCGAACCCTAAACCCTAAACATAAGTTGACCCTAAACCCCGAAGCATTAAACCCTTCACAGCCAGAGAGCCTGGACCCTAAACACTGCCAAACCGGAAGGCCGCAACACAAACCCTAAACCCTATCCCGCCTCTTTTCGCGTCCGCAAGAACGAAGGTTTTGTTGAGCTCTTTTCGAGCAGGGCCCAGGCACTCGACAAGGTAGGCAGGAACTCCTCGCGCGGGGAAACCCTAGGGATCAGGTCTAAACCCTAAAGGGGAAAAGAAGACTTAGGGTCCTACACGGGGGCCTAGAACCTTAAAGGTGGGCATGGGACCATCCGCCTTCACGGTCCTTGATTCACATGTGGATCACCACAATTGTTCGCGCAATGGCTGAGAAGGAGAGGGCCGGCAAAGCGTCTCAACTCAGCAATGCGCGCTCGGGCAGCTGGAGGCAATTGCTGTAGCAAGAGCTGAGCTGCCACCTCCTGCAGATAAAACTCTACGGTCTTGATCTTACTCCAGCGACCGCGCCAAGCAACCAAGCTTATATCTTCCGTTTCCAAGTACAAGAAAGTGGCCCCGGAGCCGCGGAGGACTCCGGGCGTGGCACCTTTCTCTGCCAAAGTGTGCGGAACGCCTAGGCGACTCATTATAGCATTCCATTGCCTGCGGTAGGTATGCATAGAACCCCGGAAAAGGCGGTCTTGCAAGGGCAAATGGCCAAAATGCTGCTCAACAAAGGCCAGGACAGTGGGATCTTCGAGGCGGCTATGCTGACGCCGGGCAAACCGAACAGTCTTCGGATTGCGCACGTGCACGTAAGCCACGCGATCCGCCGACATGGCATCGCTAGGCAGCACAAGGTCGGAGCGCTTCAGGGGGATGATTTCTGACGGGTGCAGCATACACAGGAAGCCGATCAAGGTAACTGCGGCCCAGTCCAGCCAACCCCAGCAGAGCGCTAAAGCGGTAGCAGCTTGGATGACAGGTTGCGAGATCACGGGGCGACATTCGCCAGGTTCGGCCAACTGCCACTTTTTGTCAATCTGCCATGCGGGTGTAAGATGGCCCTTGAGCTCCCGGCAGCGATCTTGCACGGCAGTGATGGCATAGACAAGAAGGTACCTGGGAAACCCCTCGGAATACAAATGAAGACCGTATGCCCTAAGCGCCAGGGCGGCACTTTGAGCATGGGAGAGTACAGCAGGAAGGGAAAGCTGCAACGTGCTTCCCAGCCAGAATCAAGGGACTTAGTCATCTTCTGCTTTGTGGTGGTTGCAAAACCCGACGACAAGTCAAGAGCACCACAAGGAGCCCTGAAGGTGACAGGCCCCGGATTCCTCTCCACATCCCCCGCTAGCAGCAGGAGAAGCCGAAGCCAGCGACCGGGCAAGCGAGGGACTCGGGCTGCAGCAAGCATGATGTCGAAACGGTATGTCTTGCCAGCGGCCAGGTCAGAAAACCAAAGGGGAACCTCTTTGGTAGGGCTTGCCACGGGGCGGTTGCGAGACGGCCCATCACTGCGATTAGAGGCAGAGTACACACGCAGACCCCCTGGGTACAACCCTGAACCTATAACACGTAAGGGATGCAACCCTTAAGCACTGCGGACAAGGCTGGGCTGCTGGAGCGACCCTTAGCAGCAGCCCCAAGGAGCACACGGCTGTCGAAGAGACCAAGGAGGCGACAATTAAAATGGCGCGCGCTGCACCACTTCAACCAGGTCTTGTAGGCCCGCCCCTCTAGCACGTTGATGTGTCCCTTGCCCTTAAAGCGGTAGCGAAGGAGCTCGCGAAATGGCAAGGATTCGGCAAGCTTGCCAATCCACTCAGGGTCGTCAAAGAACTCCCGGGCCTCAACCTCTAAACCCGAAAAATCGAAAAATCAGGGATAGGGTCTAAACCACGAGTCCTAAGGGTCTCTAGGGTGGAAAACCGTTGGGACAAAGGCAGGACAAGGCTCTGTCCACGTTTGGCTTGCGCACTGCCTGCAGCCATGCGGCGGACTAGAGGCAAGGGGTAGCTGGCGGAGAAAGCAGCAAGAGGCTCACCGGGGACCGGGCCCCGCCGAAAACCCGCTTTGCAGAAGGGCGGCAGCGTGAATGGAAAGTGGACAGCACTTCAGGGGAAAAGGAACCACCTATAACTAAATGAGCCCCTCTCCATTCACACGTGCAGGTGCCCGCAAGTTCGGTGAGCCAAGGCTTGTTGTGTAGCCACTGGAATGGCTTGCAAAACGGAGAGCCGAAAGAACACGAAGTGCAGCGCGTCAGAACAGCGCCGAGCATGGCCAGCCGAACAAAGCACGCCATGTAAAACATGACGGATCCGCCAGGCTGCTCTACCAAAAAGAACCCCCCACGCAGGGACACCAAGCAAAACAAGAAGGCCATACCCCTGGCCAGCAGGTTGTGCAAAGCGGTCACCTGGTCTGCGGGGGCCATGTCCATGTAACGCAGCCGGGCGCCTTGGATGTCAACCCCAGGATGAGCAGAAAGCCCCTGCTCCTTGTGAGCCTGCGTCCAGTTTCCTGAACCCGCAAACAACTCCACAACGTCGTACAACAAACCTTCCTGGAGGCATGGTGGTACTGGGAACAAGGGCACAGGCTCTACCACAGGCAACACGGGTTGGTCAGCAGGGTCTAGGGGGTCTAACTCAAGTTCCTTAAGGATTGAGGCAGCAACCCCATCTAACTTAGTATAGTACCCCTTAGCTTCAGCGTGCCGCCAAAGTTCGCGGACCACGGGTTGCGCTTCAGGGTCCAAAGGAAACAACTGAGTTGCAGGCTCGCGACGGCTGTCGCGGAACATGGCTGACAGAACTGCCAGCACAGGCCGCCGGAAAAGCAAAACATGGCTCCACAAACCCAGCAGTGACGCCAGGAGCTCAGGCGCGCAGAACCCCCGAAGAGCCACAATGGCAGTAATCCAGGCCAGGCAAGCAACACGCACTCTGGATGCCGGCAAGGCCGTGGACCTCGGCACCAAGGTAGACCCCGAAAGTTTCAGCACGGCGCCGCTTGCGGGGGTGCTGCACAAGGCCGGCAGCGTCGTAGGCCACCTCGGAGGCTTCGAAAATCTCGGTATCCCGAAGCCGGGCTTGGGCCCGCAGCTGTTGCTTGGTGAGTATCTGCACGCTAACGCGGTCGTCTATCGCCAACATCTCGACCGTATCACCCCTTGGGAACGGGTGCCTGTAGCACAAGACTTGGTCTGGACGCATCGACTGAGCGCGTGTCGCCAGAAGCATCCAGTGAGAAGCTTGGGCAAACTCAACAGCGAGCGAATCGCCCATGGCGAGTGCCCGGAGGCCGATGACGTAGGAGTCGGCCGAAGAGCAGCCGCGGAAGGCGCGGAAGCCGCTGAGCTCGGCAGCGCTGAACCGCAAGTTGAGACAGTTGCGACGTGCCCGGGCATCACTGACAACGAATGTATAGTACATCTCAGAGAGGTCGTCAGCATTGCGAAGCACATGTGCATCCGAAGGCAGGTGCAGCAAAGTCAACAACTGGCCGGGAGCCAACAAGCAAGTGAAGCGGCTGTACGAGGCGGTGCGCGAATTGACCACAACAGGGTTCAGGATCAAGCGATCCCACTCCGAGTCCTTAGGTATGCAGAAGAGACCGACTTGCTCCCCGGGCCGAACGTCAGTTGCAGGAAAGATTGCTAACGCCCCATGGGTGTCCCACTTCGAAGCGAGAGCCAACACTTCACTGCGGCTGGCGTGAACTTTGGCAGGAGGAAGCTTGGGCCAAGCAGCTTCCGGGAGCCTGAGCGTGTCCGGGTTGAGATAAGCAGCTCTGACCAAAGGGTCGACCAAATGCGGGACTGGATCAAACGAAGGCGGAAGGGACCATTTAATCCGATCGGCTTTCAACGGTTTGCATGTCACTGAAGCTGAGTGTTTACTTAAGGGAAGAGAAGGCAAAGGTGCACGCAGCGAAGCAGAAGCTGGAATGCTGCTAGGCTTTGAACCCTCAAGCGACAAAGACCCTTCAACCCCGGAACCCTCAACAGAGTCGGGCGCCTGCATGGCGGCCGAAGGCGACGTCGGATGATCCTGGGCAGGGGCAGGTGAAGGGGCAGGGGAACCCGAGTAACCCCAAACCTTAAGGGCAGAAACTAATTCACTCAACTCACGGTCCACATTCCCAAGCTCGGGTGAACAAGCGGGCAGTTCCAAGCAAGTTGCGGAAAGGGCATTGAATTTCTCTTCCACACGGCCGAGATCAGAGGAGGACACGTTTCCTGGCCTTAAGAAATGCTCAATGTGTCGCTACATGATGTCCAGCACTCGATGCTGGGAACAAGAGAGCTCGGAGCCGCAACGTGCATGAGGAGGGCAAGTGACTGGGCTCCCTAAGGACAACCAGTTAAGGGTGGCCACAGCAAACCTAAGCTGCTCCCGCACAGCCTGGTGGAACCTTGCTCGCCTCCTCTTGCGGGCACCTCGCGAACCAGACCATCTCCACCGAACCGGTGGGGGCACTGGCCACAGCTCGCCTGGAGATCCAGGCGTCTCAGCGCGGACGCAGGGCTTGAAAGAATCCTGAAGTGGCAAACCCTTCGGGCTGTTTAGGAAGGTGCTTGGGCAAAGGCAGGGTTCGGGTTGTGGAGTGCGGCTTGCCTGCACGCTGCGACGCCTAGGCCCGGGCAGACTGGAAAGAAGCTACAGCAGGCTCAGAACTACAGGGCGGCATCGCACCCGGCAGGCACAAACCGAAAAAAGGCCTCGAATGAACATCCGAATTACGGGCCCCAGCTCAGTGCTTGCCAAGCTCCGCTCCGGCAAACAAACATGCATGAAGAGAGCACCTCACTCGGCTTCTCGGGCTTCTCCGGGTCGTCCTATCTGGCTTCCTCCTTGGCGCCTTTCGGGGCCTCCACCAAGCTGCTGGCCGACATGCGGGCGCTGATGTAGTCCAGTTCCCGAACATAGGCCACGTTTGCACTCATCCAGCTCGACGCCGCCAATCGCGAAAAAGGTCGCAGTTGCTGGCGCCGCTTCTGAAGGGCGTGGTAGGCAGGCTCCGGCAGAGCAGTCAAGAGCCAGGCCATTTGTGTGCGCCCGCCCTCCAGCACCGTCTGATCGGCAAACAAGGCCAGCTTGGCACAAAATGCCTCCAGCCCCAGGTTGGGCGGCCATTGTCGCCACCATCGTGAGCAAGCGGTGCTCCGCCACCGGCATGCGCTTCTCCACATAGTCCCTCAGCAAAGAGTCCGAGGAAAGGCGGGTTGCTGGCACAGCTCATCCTCCGGCATGATCTTGATGAAGGCGTCCCGCACTGCGCTTTCGTGGCCTTCAAGATTGCCGTCGTCTTTGGCTGCGGAGGCCGGTCCCAGCATGTCCAGGATGGGGTCCTCCGCCTTGGAGCTCGCAGCTGAGTTGGCCAGTTGAGCCAGGAGCTTTAACAGCTGCTGAAGCCGCCACCAGCCAAGTCCTCGCCGACGTCTCGGTAGCAGCCGTTGCGGTGGGGGGCGCGCTCGTGCCCAGCCAAGCGGCTCGGAGCCTGGCCTGCCCAGCCCTCAATCGAGCCCAGTCGGCAGCAGTCAAAGGTGCGTCGGCCAGTGCGAGCCCCGCGCGGGCCAACCCCAGTGGCGGAGCCAGTCGCGGCGCCTCTTCCAGGGTGAACGGGTCCAGCTTCGCCACGCGCCTGTAGCAGGCGCTCCAGCTCGGCCACGTGAGCCCTCAAGGCAGGCCCATCCTCTGCAAGTCCCTGCAAGTCCAGAGCCCTGATCCGGAGTGGAAGCTTCCTGGGCAGCGCCGGCTTTGGCATCGCCAACAAAGCAACAGTGGTCAGCGGGCTCCGGCCAGTAGCAGCTCTGCGGAAGTGGGCAAGGAAGTTTCAGGGGAAGTCCACCACCAGATACACCCCACGGCTCTTTCGCCTGGGTGTCTCGCAAGGCACCGTCGTCATAGTGTAGACTGGGCGCCGCCCCCTCGGCCTCGAGCACCGACAGTATCGCAGCCACCGCCTCGACCTGAGGTAGTATAGCCATGAAGCCGCCTTGCCTGTAACGAAGGAGGAAAGCAACAACCCGAGTGGTCGGAGCCTTTTCAGCATAGCCAGCGGGCACCCAGGCGGGCGCCATCCAGGAGACCTCTGAGGTCTCCATCGGTCACAGTGCCTGCGGCCATTGCCGCGAAGCCCAGCCAAAAAGGCGAAGGCCTCCGACTTGCTTGCAAAGGCGTGGCTGACGGAGCCGCTCTCCAAGCGGCCTTGCCCCCTCAAGAATTGATGATAATGCTGAGTCACAAACCCAGCCGGGCAAGCAGCTTTGGAGAGGTGACGGGTGCTCCGCGATCACCACGTAGCACGTCAGCCGCCGAAAGTCCGGCGCGGTAGGCCCGAGCCACACGAGCTTTGCCAGTCCAGGGGCCAGGAAGCAGTTGCCCGAACTCGGCAGGGGTCGAAGCAGCCAAAAAGTCTCCAGGAGACTTGAGGGGAGGAGCTGTTGCCTCCAAAGGGGGAGAGCTCTCCCCAGCAAGGGGTAGCGGTAGGCTCTGGATCCACAACCTGAAGGAAGCCTCGGAGCCAGCAGCCTGGACGGATCCCTCAGCGACCTGCTCGACAGTAATTCGAAGCCGGCCCACACGGATACACAAGCTGTCCAACTCACTGCCAGGCCCAGAATTGCTCATTCACGGTTAGCCGCCTCTGCGCTGCCAACTGAGCACCGCCAGCCGGAGGATCCAGTATGCCTGCGCTCCAATGCAGCAGTAAGACCAGCGCTCGCCTGCAGGTCAAAGACCAGAAAAGGCTAGCCAAAAGGCAACCGCAGCAAAGCCCACAGCAGAAAATGCAAGTGCCCAGAAGAACCAGCAGTGACCACGAAGGACAATGGCTCGGAAGTGCCCACAACCTAACTTCACGAGCCAGGTCGGGCAGGGAAGCCCACATTCAGCCGAAAAGGTGCTCTGGAGATCGCTATGCTCTGCTGCAAGCACGGGATAGTTTGCATATCCTAGTTGGGCTTTGCAGGTGCTTGAATCAT